TTAAATTAATCACTCGGAAAATGGGTGTAAAAGACAAACATTTATTTGAAGATAAATCTTAATAACCTATACGTAACGTATTTTTTTTTTTTTTTTTTTTTTTTTTTTTTTTTTTTTTTTTTTTTTTTTTTTTTTTGTTTTTTTTTTTTTTTTTTTTTTTTTTTTTTTTTTTTTGTTTTTTTTTTTTTTTTTTTTTTTTTTTTTTTTTTTTTTTTTTTTTTTTTTTTTTTTTTTTTTTTTTTTTTTTTTTTTTTTTTTTTTTTTTTTTTTTTTTTTTTTTTGTTTTTTTTTTTTTTTTTTTTTTTTTTTTTGTTTTTTTTTTTTTTTTTTTTTGTTTTTTAAGTATATTTTTTTTAATTATAATAGAACGACATCGAAATTAGCGTTGCCATTTCTCAAGATATTTGTCTAAACAATAAATATTACAATCGTCTACATTCGACATCCTGACTTTTCAATGCCTCAATTGAACCAATCTTGTAATAATTAAAACGACAAATAAACACAGCAAAAAAAATCTAATAATAGGTAGGAAAAAAAATGAAATGAATTTTAAATATTCTTTAAGTCCTATACAAAGTCTCTATAGCGCAAGGTTTGAGCACTGTTCGCTTGGGTTTTAAGTTCGTCTCAACCTCGTCATTATCATCATCTGTATTTCTGGAAAGGAAGCTCGAAGATGTTTTTAGCACGTGAATCAGCTTGGTGGGGCTTTCGACAACGATTTTTGATCTGTAAAGGACAAGATCTAGATCCTTGACCGCGTGCTGTGTTCTTCGTCATTTGTCGATAGTTCTTTTCTCCATTCTACTTTGACTGCATTCAGTGTCATTCCTATGATAGTGGATTTGGTTTTAAAGCATTTTGATAAAATCGTCTAGGATTCCAGTGATTGTCTCTTCCACCCCTGACTCTTTGTTCGTTTTTCTTTCATTTTGTTCATCTTCATCATCACGTTCAAGTTTCGTGGAAGTCCTGGATATATAACTACAAGATTGCCTGAAGTAAAGATGACGTAATTGCCTTCGTACGGGCCTTTGAGGTTGAGTTGCTGCTTATCATCTTCTCTTGGCTCTGACTACCATCACTTTCTCATTTGTCTTTGCCTTGGCATGAAGTGGTGTTAGAGAACAGTTGGCCACAGTGTCGATTTATAGTATTTGCAGCATAAGGACTATTTTTCACCGAAGTGCGATTCAGTCCAATCAGATTTGCAGCTTAATTCCCCTTCTTCCGAACAACAACTTCAAATACACCTAATTCACCATATCCTTCACTTAGAACGGCACTTTTTGTATTGTTTTTCTTTACTGCAGTTTGATGAACGAATATATCATCTTTAGAGTCAATTTTTATGAGATCAGTGCACCCGAGTTCTGAAATATTCAGTGCGAAGAAATCTATGTATTTATTCGAAAAACGCAATAAAATAATAACTATTAAAATACTTTAAGTCTTGCTGGTGATCAATATCGAGATCCGAGCCAATTTTACTTGCTTATATAACTTATAGGAACTTTATGTTGTTAATATTTCCGTTTTGTTAACTTCGCTCAGTAGAAATTTCAGTATTAAAATGTTAACTTCTTTGCTCCAACGCATATATTTTTGGAGCTTAACATTCTTTCGCCAACGTTAATCAATGTATACAAGTTTCGCCATTTTTAATTTCTAATAAACAGCCTATATCTTCGGAAGGATTTTCATCATAATTAATCATTATCTACAGAATTGTTGAGACTGACAAGACTGCTATATTTTCTCTAATTCTTTTTCTCAGAGCTTTAAGGCAGACTCGATTTTTTGTCATCCAATTTGGAGGTTACTAAATAGTTCATCTTCCCTATCCCCGAAGTGAAATCTTTTTCCTATTCTGACATAAGCGAGTGATGGTAGATCAAGCCATGTGTCCGATGATTAGATCAACTGGCTGTGCATATCAGGTACAAGGTATATATTTATGCTTTGGCCTTACTTATACTTCAATATCGGCGTTAATCTTCCTATGGAGGTCACTGCAGGACCCTTTGATTTCCAAACCGTACATTTCATAGCAGGTTCCTTTCACTTTAGTTTGAGCAACTGAAGTCCTTAGAGAAAACAAGAACCCCGTATCAATTAAAGCCCGTATCTTCAGCATTAGACAGTTTTGTCTTCAAATGAATTGCTTCTTCTATATTTTCGCAACTTGCTCAACAGAAGAATTTTTATCATTTGAATGATTATTTCAGCTTTAGACACAATTTTTCGCTTTATGACCTGTTTTATTACATTTTCGCATGTTATACTGGTTGGGCAGCGGACCGCCTTGAGTGTGTCCAAATATTTCAGCTGAAGCATTTGGTTACCTTTTCATTATGTGTGATAGGTAGTTTTTTCTTTTCGTATTGTAGCAATTGGACCATTTAAAAGAGTTTCGTTTGTCGTAAGCCCTCTTACGCGGTTGTTTATTGTTGAAAGGACTTCAAGGTATCATCATCTAGTTTTTTCATAAATCAATTGGTGAAATCACTCAGGACCATATGTCAATAAAATGTTTTTATTCGGAGCCACTTTACGTTTTTATGATCCGCACAATAAGGTCGTAAGTTTCTCAAAAGTATCTACTTTAATTCCGCTATCCATCATTAAAAAAATTTCTTAATCATACGCAAATTCTTCCAGTGTTTCCTACACTATTTTGTGCGTAAAATATTTGGCGAAATTTTTCGGGTGTCATCTTGTACCGTTTAAGATCCTTTTAACTCCTTATAATCGTTTGCAATCTCTATTGTGCTAAAATATTTTGGCGAAATTTTTCAGGTGTCATCTGTACCGTTTAATAAGATCCTTTTAACTTCTTTATAACCGTTACAATCTCATCGGTTTCTCTGGCGATTAACTGAGCAATATCATACGGCATAAGCCAAACAAATGAGTAACCCATGTATTTTGGTTATTTCAACTTGTTTAGCCAAACGTTCAAACTGATTAAGTATAAACTGATATCTTCTCGTCAGGTTTACATTTGAAAAACTATGAAGCTTACTTTGGATTCATGTGCGTACACTAGCATTTATTGGTGCCAGAGTTTGTAGATACTTATGCTTCAATACGTAGTTTTTGCAGTTCAAATTGCTTTCATACTTTCGTTTTCGTCCTCATGTTCTTCTTTTCGTAAGTTCTTCATTTCTTCTTTTTCTTTTCTTCATTTATTATAATGTTAACCATTCTTGGCGCATTCTTCATCATCTTTGCTAGCCAAAATATCTTTTTTCAATCGCTCATTTTAGAACTCTCATTACATTTCTCCCAATCTTCAGCTAATTTCTTAAATCGCATTTCTTGCCTTACCGAAAATAGACATTTTCGTACTCATTAAAATGCAAATTATATATATATGCTATTATTATTAACTTTCATAGACAACTTAGTAGAACACAGTATGGTATTTTATAAGTTTGTTTGACGTTCTAAATATATTCAAAATTAAAGAAATGAAAATAATAAAACTCTCTTTCCAAAATGATAAAAAATAACAAAATTAATTCTATAATAAATATGTTACATCATTAATGCACATACCTTGAAATTCAAATTCTTTTCAATTTATTTACGTAATAGCAAATTCTTGTAGCTTTAGGCTTAGGTTTCAGAATAATCCCACTTCTGATTTATGTAACTCTTTTGTAGTTAATCACTCGTAAATGGTTGTAAAAGACAAACATTTATTGAGTAAATCTTAATAACCTATACGTAACGTATTCGTAAACGTACATAACATAACAAACGTACTTAATGCATCGTACCGTTAAACATTTGAAGCTACATCATCTAAAAGTATATATTTTTAAATTATAAATAGAACGACATCCAGAAATTAGCTGTTGCCATTTTCTCAATAGATATTTTGTCTAATAACAATTAAATAATTTACAATCGTTCTTACACTCATTTCAAAATAAATTTTAACCTCGTTCAAAAATGTTCAACCTTAAGTAAAGATTTTTTCGCGAAACAATAAAGGCTTGTTAAAGAAACCAAATGATTGTGTCTTTTTGTCTAAGTATACATAAATGTATTTTTACATTACATTATACCATTCCTAATCTTAAGTAAATTATTTTATGACGTAAAAATGAATATATTATAAAGTGAATATTTTTCATTGTAATTACTTCCCTGTTTAATCTTTATATAGTAAAGTGGCATTTTCTGCATGAAAACAGAATTGCATTTACGTGTATGCAATAAATCCTTTAAGTTTAAAAAATAATACTATGATTTTCTTCATATAACAGTATCACTTCGTGATTCATATTGGAAAAAATGTGTTATTTTAAATATATATTTCCCAAAATTGTGGCGATATGTCACAGAAAAAGTTTTAAAAGATATCATTTCTAGATTTTCCAACTCATAAAACATATTCATATTTTTAGGAGGAAAGTGCTTTCAAAACAATTCATTGAGACTTATTTTTAACTCAAAGTAGCTGACTGATCTAGCTGTTAATTAGTTTTATTTGGGAGGGACAATTTAAATGGCTGTTGTTTTTACAATTTGCATTTGCTTATTTCTTAAAAATCCTATTTTTTAACTTAGTTAATCCACATTTGAACAGGAACCTGTATTTTGTATCAAATAAAAATTTTAATATCCATTAACATTAAACTTCATTTTTCGTAATCTAACTTTTGTTGCAAGAATTGATATGATACATAAAAGATTATTTCCAGACCTTTCAGCATGATTAGATGTTCATACGTATAAATGGCATGTAGCGTATAGAACTCTTTAAAAATAATAAAATGTTTGCCTATTATTAAAATTTCATATTTTTGTATAACAATTTGAAATTGCATTTTAATTTAATGAAATAAAATCATAACTATGTCCCGCATAGCTGTCGACCAAGCCCCAGCATTATTTAACGTATTCCATGAGTTTGTATCCTCGGTAGATGGCGCTCGGGAGAAAGTTTTTGTCGAAATATTGTGGGAAGAATGGATGTCGTCCGCCATGATGGACGGTGAGAAATGTTCTAACATCTCGAAGTTAAAAGTGGATTTACACGTTCTTCCTGTGCATGAAATTCACCAAAATGACATGGATTAACGTCGAAGGATTCTCAATTTTATCGAGGAGCAAAAGTTCCCGTGTAAACGGGCCTTTAAACTCTCATCCAGCCGATTTTTCGGCGCGCCTCGTGTTCATAGGGACTTGTGACGGTTGGGGCAATGAGTAAGTTGTCGTTTAGGGCTAGGGCGCTGGACGCCTCAAAGCCCATGCCCATATATTATATGGACGATGTTCCTGAATTTCAGGATTTTGCAACTATTAATCGGGCTGTACCTCAAATGCCCACTGGAATGGAAAAAGAAGAAGAATGTGTAAGTAACATACATAAAATGCATACTGCAATGTGATTGGTTAATTCATCATTGTGGCGGGTTCTTAAATTAGCAATGTTTTGTCTTAAATTTTTATGTTAAATAAGCTTGAGCTATTGTATTCTTGATAAAATATAAGTAAATGATAATATATATACAAACAACCTTTGAAGGAGTTTACAGAATGAATACATTTAACTTCAAAAAGTGTTCTATACTGTGTGATGGCAGCCATTTTGTTTTTGTTTATTTATTTATTTTTTAAAGTCTGATATATAGTTAAATGATTATATATTTTATAAAAAGACCATAAATAGGTGACATTCTTATCTGCATTGATGGTATTTATTTATGTGTAATTTTTTAACCAGGGATTAAAAAACAAAAAAATTTTAATTGTATTTTTTGTTTACATGTCATGATATACACTGATGCCACCACCATTGACACTTTCTCTGCCATAGATAAATTAAACAAATTCTCTCATTTCCATTTTAAATGTAATACTTTGTAAATTAATTTTTTGTCTTTGTTAAATAATAAAAAGTTAACTACCTTCAAACATAAATGCTAAATTTTTATTGATAAGTAATATATTGATTTTGAGTTGATGAAAAATTTATATATCAGTAAACCTATAAAATTTATAATAGGAATGCATTTCTCTAGATAGGAAAATATATTTATATAGGTCTTCAGATTAAGTTATTATTTTAGTTTGTATTGAGGGAATATATATATGTTACTTTTAATGTGAATTTTTATTTGTTTAAGTAACGTGGGCTATTTGCATATATATATTTAGTAATCTGATATGACTTTTTTGGGATAGGAAAGATACTTTGTGTAGATTGCTATTTTTCACTGAAAATGTAATCTTTCCATTGAGCAGTTCAGGCCACCTGATGGCCGAGATGACTGTTGAATAAATCTAAAACAAATGAGTTGACTGCGTGAGCACTTGTATAATTTTTCTCATGTGCAACATGAATGCGATCTAATTGTCCTTGAAGTCTTTCACTACTGCATTCCTTCCTTAACCCTTTAGCTACATTTGATGAGTGAGAATCATCATCTGCTTATTTAGGCAAAGTTACGGTGGACAAGTCTGACTCATCATCTGAATTTAAGAAACAGGCGTTGATGACTCGGCATTGATAACTGTTCCCGTTTTTTAAGTATATTTCAAGTGAAATGTATTACTTTTACGTAATAATCCATATAATGGCAAATTAAATCTGTTCCATGGGCATAAAAATCTTCAAAAAATTCAGTACTCAAAGGATTATTGCAGATAATCCTCCCACGCATTGTCATAATCCAAGCAATTTACTCGATTGATGAAAGCAAAGTAGACAGCATTATTGAATTTCGACATCTCACAAGTGGAAACTCATTTTTGCAAAATTAAATGTCAAGCTTACATTTGTTTTCACAGTAGTGTTTGCAAATATTAGCGAAATAACTATTTTTTTCGCATGTACTAGTAATCACCCTTACTAAAATCTACTTGCTATGGAAAAAAATTAGGCTAATCTTTGGAATATGGTAACAGGGAGTTTGGCGACATTTTGGTAAGGTGATAAAAGTTACTAGCTTGAACTTTAGTAGTGTACATGGATAAAGTCAAGAGTGTGCGCAATGCCATTTTTGTGCAGTTCTGGGATATTTTTTTTAAGTGAAAATAGGTCGACGTGTACATGGATGATACCGTGTATGTGATTCTTAAAAACCCTCCAAACATTATCTCAAATCTTTCTCATGGAAATGTAATTCACAGATCTAAATCCTGCAAATGTAAACATAGACATAATTACTAATTTTAAAGTAGTAAAAGTAGGATTTCTTGTAATGCAGTTTATTTTTTTTAACAAACCAGGTAATAGCAAGCATATGTGTGTTTGTCACCCACTCGGGAGGGGGGGGAGAGAAAAGGATTCTTAGTGACATAAGTTTTAATAATATTTGAATGTTCGTGCATTAGGAATATAATTTCTTATTTTATGCAAAACTTTGCACTTTATATTACAGTTTAAAAAACCATAAGTATATTTATTGCCTTCAGTTTCTTTAGAAACACTTCTAATACAAAAAATATATTAAATGTTATATGCTATATATATGTTATATGCTTTCATTTTGTGCCATACACTAATAAAGTTAAAAGTTCCAAGTTATAAAATTAATCAAAAAGTAAAAAATTGGAGATTTTAAAAAGTAAGAGAATATTTAGCATACAATTCGATATATAATTATACTAATTGATACGTGATTATGCAATATTATACATAATGTATACTATATGAGTGAAATTCCTTAATATTAGCATATCCATTCTTTAATAGAGAAGCAAATACTTTAATAAAATTAAATTTCAAGTTGGTGCTAATTTGGTAGGCGGTTGCATGGATTTTTGACGATTTATGTCGCCGCGGTTTTTAGAATCATCAGCCATCTTGAAAAACGCTGTTTTCGAAAACTTTAAAAAATTAAATATCGTTAAAAGTAATGGATTAATTATTTGTTGAAAATGTTTGTTTTGTTTGCAGGCAAATTTAAATAAATACATTTACTACGAATATAAAATACTAAAGTATGGTTGAATTGTTACTTTCATATAGCAAAGAAATAGAATAAAAACATTGCGCCTACGTTTAATTGGATTAAAATATTACTTAAATCCAAATACTTTAAAGTAAGTTTTACAGGATATAATTATTTAACATTAAAACATATGTTAAATTGCTGTCATTGCTGATTAGCGAGGTTTCCTCCAAAAATTTAAAATAAAATTCCTCTGATCCTTGTAACAATTTATAAATAAATCTTTGATGAGGAAAGCCAGGTTGGCCAAAATGAGGTCTGAAAGGACAATTTTTTGATTTTGATACCAATAACAACATTTGTCTTTGAAAGGGACATATCTGTTTGCTATGAAAACTAAAGAATTCGAAGAGGTGAATAATAAAATTTTAAAATGCCATGGTAATGCACAAATGCTGAAAATCCACCAAGTCCTGAAATCCGCGTTGCCTCTCAAAATATAAACATTCAATTTATAGGTTTCGGAAACCGCAACTTGGAGCACGAAATATCGAAGAAAAAATACTTACCGGATAATAACATCATAATTACCAAATAAAATGAGTCAACGGAAATACCAAATTATTGATATCGTGATAAAAGTGTTTTTTCCTCCAGTTTGCATAGAGGTAAAAAAGCAGAGGATTCACTTAACTCCTCTTTCAAGTACACGATTCACGTTGTACTTTCTGAGCTGTTATTTCACGAGATTGTTCAGTGCTGCCTTTTTTTATTATTATCCGGATATTTTGTGGATAAATTAAGAATATTTTAAATTTCAGCACTTTTTAATACAATGACAGATAACAAATGCACTCATGATTTTACTGCTTGTAGCGTTGAAAAACATAAACACATTGCATTGACGGTAATACAAAAAGTGGAAATTCTGCAAAAGATGAAAGGCAGGTGCTACTTCTCGGTTTATAGCAGAATCGTATGAAATTGCGACGTGTATGGTATACGGAAAAATTAAGAAAAGCTGTTAAAATTTTACAGCAACAGTGATTCTAACACCGGAAATCTTTACTTGAGGCAAAATTCGCAAACCTCGATGCCGTCTCGTACAAGTGATTCCGGCAGCAGCTTGAGTGACAGTGTACCAATTTCAGGACTGCTCAGGGGAAGCAGATTCATGCTGATTTAAAAATAGAGAAGCCTAATGTAAATGAATAATATAATATAATCAATTTATATATGTAATAAAATTTAATGCATGTAATAAATTATTGTAATAATGTATATAATAATTTGATTAAATGTATTTATTTTGCACTTTTAGCCTCGATAGTATGATTTATCTTTTCTGTCCCGAAATCTGCAAAATCCGCACAACCTCTGGTCCCTAGGCTTTGCGGATTTCTGGACTTCTACTGTATTCAGTAACCAATCAAGGAGCTGATTACATCACGCATAGTATTAAAATTATTTAAATAATCATGCATAAGAAAATCATTTTTTTTTAAATGCAAAATTAAATTGTATTTTAATATTTAACAGACATAAATATTGTTTTAAAACATTAGATTAAATTTGTAGATATTAAAACCAATTTCTTTTAAAGTAAGGTGACGTCATTGATTACATCATCTACAACATAGTTTTATAAAATATCATAAATGTACTATTCGGCTATGAGGGCCGTAAAAAATCGCCAAACTATTGTTGATGCCAGTGCTGCAAAAAATAATTGCGGCAACCCTAACGCAAGAAAGGAATATAATAGTAAATAACTGTCTAAGATTGATGTTTTTAATTTAGATGAAAGGATAATTTCGATAATACTTTTTATTATTGTAATTTATATAAAAAAGGCTAAACATGAATGAGGAAGCATACGATAAATAACTATTTCAGATCATTATTATAATTTATATAAAAATTGCTAAACATAACTGAATGGATGCCTGCATCGCTATTTCGCTACCAAGTTATCGCTAAAGCATAATTTCATGTCGTTCAAGTATAATTTTCTATAATGAATGATGTGTTTTCTTTAAAAAAATTCTCGGTAAAGTGCAGAATCACCCACATATTTGTTTCCGCTTTTTACAATTGGATTTTTGTCAATTTTCTTTTACTTTTTAAGTGAAAATAGGTCGATGTGTACATAGAAAAAGCCAAGGGTGTGCGCAGTGCCGTTTTTGTGCAATTCTGGGAATTTTTTCAAGTGAAAATAGGTTGATGTGCACATGGATACGTAGTATGTGCAGTTCTTAAAAATGCATCAAGCAGTGGGTGATTCTGCACTTTACCAAAATTCTATTGCCGACTTTTCATCGTGGGCAATTCCCAAATTGCTAAATCCTTAGGATATTAAAAAAGGATTTAAAATCAAGAAAGGATTTAAAAATTAAACTAGTATTTCAATGGTGTCTTAAGAAATATAGAACTATATAAACGTACGCAATCTGAAA